TCCCTTCCTCCCTTCCTCCCTTCCTCCCTTCCTCCCTTCCTCCCTTCCTCCCTCCCTCCTTTGGAAGAAAGCCAAATCCATGCTTTGATTTATGTGTTTTAGTTCATATACTGTAGACTGGTATGTTGTTAGTGGGGGCAGGAACACACCATGTTCCCTAATTGGTAGAGCCCCCAAAGCTCAACACATTTACTGTAGTATGTATACTGTATGAGTTAAAACTTTTGCAGGCTTCAGCAAACCCTGAACATTATTTTATTATCCCACTCCCTTTTTTATCTGTACATAAACGAGTTTCAGCCTTCCTCCCCTGTCTTTCTTTGCAGTTGCCCATTCATCATGCACAAGCTGCTCAGTTATCACTTGCACAGTCTCTCTTTCAGAAGCATCTTCTGAGAGAACAAAAGAGGTCGGAACGTCCTGGCGTGCATATAATAAACTTCTTGTATGAAGAAACTACTCACAGGGCAAGATGGCTTCACTCGTACACAAAAATGGACATGCCCTGGTTCACTCACAGATCACATCCACATTTCCTTCCTTCCTTCCTTCCTTCCTTCCTTCCTTCCTCTCTCCCTCCCTCCCTCCCTCCCTCAAATTAGCATCAAAATTTATATCCTATCAATGCAAATAAATTTGCAGGATAGCTCCTGCAGGATTATTTTATACCAGCAACTCCAATGTTCTCACCTCTTAGTGGTCATGGAGTGAAACTGATTGGCAGAAGAATCACATGGAAGAATTTCACACAATACCCAAGTAAGCTGTAGAGCTCAATGTCAGACAGTCTGCTTACAAGGTCAAGTAATTAGCTGACTTGGGAGGAGGATTAGACAAACTCATGAAAAAAAGCCTATCGGTGGTTGCTCGTTATGATTGCTACATCCAGCCTCTAAGTTCAAGTAAATGTCTGTGGAAAGGGCAGTAGTATCAGCAGATTTTCCCCTTTACTTCTGAGCTTCCTGTGGACATTGAGTTGATTACTGTGGAAAGCAGGATGCTGGACTGGACGAACCTTTGGTTTGACTCAGCTGGATTCTTCTTGTACAAATCAAGGTTGGTATGAGACTCAGAAACAAATTCCTGTGTGAGGAAGAAGGTGATGGAAGTCTTATCTTGGTAAAGATCTGGGAAGCATAATAATGTGTTGCAGCCTGTGAAGAAAGAGTTGATGCCATTGAAATGTATGTAACAGAAGCCTTTCCATGCAGCTCCAATGCATTTTCAAGAGATATTTGTAGGAGAACTTCATGTTGAATCTTGTCTATCATGGTCTTAACTGTTTTGCTCATAACAAAAATGATTCAGGGAGGCTGTATATCAGAAAGTAGATCTAAAGAATGGAAGGGGAATCAGGAGATTGTGCCCCCGAAAACAGCCAATCTTCACTGTGTAATTTGTTTTAATGACCTGTCAAATTCATATTCATGTTATGTAGTAGTCTCTTTTACGTGCATGGTTGTAATTTCTTAGAACAAGGCTCATGTGTGTGACAGGAATGCCATAAAAAGCAAGATGACAGTAGACAGTAAGTAAAAGTTGTTCTAAAGTTTATAAACAAAGTGTTTCTGTTCTGTATTTGCAGATTCAATTTGCGTACGGGGCTTTGATCCAAATCTCAGCATGATGACAGGAATAACTCCAATTAACCCCATGTTGTCAGGCATGGGCCTAGTACCTCAACCTCCTCCAACAGATGTCCCTGTCATCAAAGAAATTATTCACTGTAAAAGCTGCACTCTCTTCCCTCCAAACCCAAGTAAGTAAGGCTGATTAGTTTAATGAGGGTCAAAGTTGCTAGACCAGTACAAACCTTTTGGTAATCATTTAAAGAATCCCCTATCCACCTAAAATTTCAAAAGGGAAAAGTATCTTGCAATTTTAATTTAGCAAGGAGCCTTCGAATGTGCATTGTAAGTTGTTGAAAAAGTATTACTAATGTTAATATTACTAACTTACTAACTTTAGTATCACTTATTTACTTCAGTATTACTCATTTAAGTCGTATTATTAATTGCACTGCCTTGTCATCTTTCAAAGACCTAAAATGGGGTTTAAATAAATAGGTAGAAATGTGTGGGTCTGCATTTAGTTCTGGGCTAAAGTTACTCAGGCAAAATGGTGCCACATTAACTAAGAGTTACTGAATAGCATCAGGATGTGAGATTTGCCCCGTTCGACAGAGAAACTCTCGTGACACGTGTGGTTCACAAAGA